AAAAAAAAAAAAAGTTAAAACAATATATATCTATAAATATATAAACATACGTATAAACAAATAAACGTGTGTATGTGTGTGTATCCCCCAAACTTGGAGAATGTATTTTAAGAAAAGCTTGCTAGGTGATTATGATACACATCCAGATTTGAGAACTACTATTCAAAAGTACCTTTACATTTTTTGATACTGAATCAACAGTTTCATCTATGTTTATGAATGCATTCTCTGAAGAAAACAATAAGAATGATAGAATATGCAAAAATTTTTCAATAAATATATATTTATGAATTATAAGCTAAACAAAAATGTTTATGGCTCTGGCTCTCACACTTTAGATTCTTTTACTATGTGATTTAAAACAATACTGCAGCTATTTATTATAATATTATCACCAAGCGCCATAGATGGTTTTCTACACATTTTGAAACTCAACTATTTAGACCACATTTTGAAAATACTGACGTAGGCTCAGGATAAAGAACAAAACTAGAAATAAATTGTGTTACCAAAGATATTATGAGGAAATGCGTTCTTACTTTTGTCTCTGCTGATCAATCCAGAATTTACAGCTCTTCTTGACAAAGTCACAGCCCATTCCTCGGCCCCAGTCCAACTTCTCTGCCATGCTGTAATTAGCCTTATACCAACTGTGGAAATAATGCAAACAAAGCACTTTTCATTACCGTCATTTTAAAAACAACTCCAGCATACCAATTACAAATCTCAACAATGAGCAAACTGGACCTTAATACAGATGAGCATTTACACACAAAGCCCTGGCTGCCCAGGGATTGGGAGACTTCAGTCTTACGGTGAGGGTACTTCCATATTCGAAAACAAACACAAAAACAAAGCACATTTCCATGTAAATTTTCAAAGATGATAGAAGTCACAGAGTAAAAAGTGGTTAAGGTGTAAGACAAGGAGAGTAAAGGCCAAAGAAACAGAAAGAGAATGAGAGAAAAAGAGAAGGGAGTAAACTGGGGAAGAAAGAGTGGAATTACCAGTTGGCTAGCTTTTTCCTAATCTGATTCAGTTGGTCCTAGTTTCTTGCTTCTTTGGCCTTGAATTTGTGATACTATATCAATACAGGCCTTGCTTGTGACTCAACATTACACCTTTATAATATGACAAATGAATACTATGTCCAATACTTTAAAAATGTTCTAATTTCAGGAAAAAACCCACATTGATTTAGATTCCTGGTAAATTTAATCAAAGGCAAGGAACCTACTTTTATTAGTTTTTTTCTTTATTCTTAATGACAAGATTAATTTACAGAAGTTATAAAATCATACAAAATAGTTTCTTATCTGTTTATATTATATCTTGTCCCTTTAGCATTACCAAAACAGTAAATAAAAACATAGTCTCGAGGGGCCAGCCCGGTGGCGCAAGTGGTTAGGTGCCTGCGCGCGCTCCACTGTGGCGGCCTGGGGTTCGTGGGTTCGGATCCCGGGCGCGCACTGACGCACTGCTTGGCAAGCCATGCTGTGGTGGCATCCCATATAGAGTGGAGGAAGATGGGCACGGATGTTAGCCCAGGGCCAGTCTTCCTCAGCAAAAAGAAGAGGAGGATTGGCAGATGTTAGCACAGGGCTGATCTTCCTCACCAAAAAAAACAAAAAAACATAGGCTCAAAGGCTGGGAGAATGACAAGAATCATCCCTTCACTCCAGCCACCTTCCCACAATATTAAACAAAAGCAGAAATATGCGATATAGCACCTTTCAAACCTCTCCTCTTTCCAAGAACAGAACTTTCACTCAGAGAGAAACTGAATAAATGAATCTTGGCACACCAATATCAAAATGCCTGCAACCTCAGCCACAATGTGAGTTATGTTAACTAGCTAACTTGGTATCATAACGGGTCAAGTTGTCCGGAGAGTAACAGACGCCCCCAATCTTGCACACTAGCAATTATTTCAGCAGTGCCTAGGTTAGGAGGTCCTTCTCCCTATGGATAAAACGTAAAGTAACTAGATTCCCTTGGGAATTACCATATCCAGTCTAGGTTGCTAAATGCAGTCACAGTAATAGTACTACGTTACTCAATCACCAGCTAGGCACTCCAGCTACATTTCTTTAAACCTTCTCGATACCTTTTCTTTGCAGCTCTTCCTGTGTCATAAGTCAACAGTTATTAAACACTTCTTATTAATGGTAGGCACTTTGCTAAATGCTAAGGCCACAGCAGTGAATAAAAAGACACAGTTCCTGCCCTCATGAAGATTATAATCTAGAGGGGTAGATATTAAAAAAAGTTACAAGGGTGATGAGTACCACAGAGGTTAAGTATAAGATGCTAATAGGAGCACATTAATAGGGAAACCTAAGCTAGTCTAGGGAATTAGGAAAGATTTTTCTGAGGAAGCAACTTTAAACCCAGAAGGACGAGCACAAGTTAACTGAGGGAGCAGGGGGAGCATTAGAAACAGGGTTTCTTAGTGGCATTACTGGACCGTGAGATCAATTTAGTGGATCTTAACATTTCTTTCTCTCTCTTAAAATTAATAGACTAGAAAAAAAGGTCTGCATTGTAGTTAGTAAGGGTAAATATTGTTTCACAAAACTTTGGTTCAGTTTTATATATAATAGCTAATACTTAGTTGGCACTTATAATGTGCCCAACGCTGTACTAAGGGCTTTACATATATTAACTCATTAAAGTCTCACAAAACTCTAAGAAATAGGTATCACTGTTTATCCCTACTTTACCGATGAAGGAACTGAGGCAAAGGGACAGCTAGTAAGTGGTAGAGCTGAGATTTGAATCTAGGGCTTTCAATGTTTGTGTGCTTTTTTAAAAAAAAACTGAGATATAATTCACATACTATAAAATTCACCCTTATAATGTGTACAATTCAATGTTTTTAGTGTCTTCACAAGGTTGTGCAACCATCACCACTGTCTAATTTAAGAAGATTTTTATCACCCCCCAAAAAACTATGTAGCCATCAGCAGTCACTCCCCAGTCCCTGGCAACCACTAATCTACTGTCTGTCTCTATAGATTTGCCTGTTTTGGACATTTCACAGAAATGGCATGTGGTCTTTTGTGTCTGGCTTTTTCCACTTAGCATAAGGTTTTCAAGCTTCATACATGTTATAGCATGCATTAGTACTTCACTCCTTTTTTTTTTTAACAGATTTTATTTTTCAGAGCGGTTTTAGGTTCACAGCAAAACTGAGTGGAAAGAACAGAGTTTCCATACATCCCCTGCCCCACAACTGACAGCGGACCCCACTATCAACAGACTGCAACAGAATGCTGCATTTGTTGCAATCAATGAACCTACAACTGACACATCACAATCACCCAAAGTCTGTAGTTCACATCAGGGTTTACTCTTAGCGCTGTACATTCTACGGCTTTGGACAAATGTATAATGACATATATCCACCATTACATTATCATAGAGAATAATTTCATTGCCCTTAAAATTCTCTCTGCTCTGCCTGTTCACCCCTTCTTCCCCATAACCCCCGACAACCACTGATCTTTTTACTGTCTCCAAAGTTTTGCCTTTTCTAGAACATCATATAGTTGGAATCATACAGTATGTAGCCTTTTCAGATTGGCTTCTTTCATTTAGTAACATATATTTAAGGTTTCTCCATGTCTTTTCATGGCTTGATATCTCGTTTCTTTTTAGCTCTGAATAAGATTCCATTGTCTGGATGTACCACAGTTTATCTATCCATTCACATACTGAAAGACAACTTGGTTGCTCCCAAGTTTTGGCAATTATGAATAAAGCTGCTATAAACATCTATGTACAGGTTTTTGTGTGGACATGTTTTTAATTCATTTGATTAAATATCAAAGAGCACAGTTGCTGGGTTGTTATGGTTAGAGTATGTTTAGTTTTGTAAGAAACTGCTAAACTGTCTTCCAAAGTGGCTGTACCGTTTTGCAGTCTCACCAACAATGAATGAGAGTTCCTGTTGTTCTACACCCTTGTCAGCATTTGGTGTTGTCAGTGTTAGGGATTTTGGCCATTCTAATAGGTGTGTAGTGGCTTTTTGTTGTTTTAATTTGCATTTTCCTTTTGACATATAATGTGGAGCATCTTTTCATATGCTTATTTACCATCTGTATATCTTTTCCGGGGAGGTGTCTGTTCAGATCTTTTGCCCATTTTCTAATTGGGTTGTTCATTTTCATTTTGTCGAGTTTTAAGAGTTCTTTGTATATTTTGGATAACACTCCTTTATTAGATGTGTCTTTTGAAAATATATTCTCCCAGTCTGTAGTTTGTCTTCTCATTGTCTTGATTTCATTCCTTTTCATGGGTGAATAATATTCCATGGTATAGCTATACCACATTTTGTTTATTCATTCATCAGTTGATAGACATTTGGGTTTGTTTCAACTTTTTGGCTATTATGAGTAATGCTGCTATGAATATTCACATATAGGTTTTTGTGTGGACATGTTTTCAATTCTTTTGGACATAGACCTGGGAGTAGAACTGCTGGATGATATGGGAAATCTGTTTAACATTTTGAGGAACTGCCAATCTGTTTTCCAAAGTGGTTGCAACATTTTACATTCTCACCAACAGTGTATAGGGTTGCAGTTTCCCCACATCCTCATTAATACTTGCTATTGTCTTCCCACATCCTCATTAATACTTGCTATTGTCTTTTTGATTATAGCCATCCTAGTGGGTGTGGAGTGGTAATTCATTGTGGTTTTGATTTGCATTTCCCTAAGGACTAACAATGTTGAGAATCATTTCAAGTGCTTATTGGCCACTTGTATATCTTTTTGGGAGAAATATCTACTTTAAATCCTTCACCCATTTTTACATTAAGTTGTCTTTTTTTTTTTTTTAATTTTTTTATTTATTTATTTTTCCCCCAAAGCCCCAGTAGATAGTTGTATGTCATAGTTGCACATCCTTCTAGTTGCTGTATGTGGGACGCGGCCTCAGCATGGCCAGAGAAGCAGTGCGTCGGGGCGAGCCCGGGATCCGAACCCGGGCTGCCAGCATCGGAGTGCACGCATTTAACCGCTAAGCCACGGGGCCGGCCTAAGTTGTCTTTTTATCATTGAGTTGTAAGAGTTCTTTATACAGGCATACCTCATTTTTTTGTACTTTGCAGATATTGCATTTTTATAAGACCCTCCACCAGCAAAAAGATTAAGACTTGCTGAAGACTCAGATGATGGTTAGCATTTTTTAGCAATAAAGTACTTTTTAATTAAGGTATGTACATTGATTTTTAGACATAAAGCTATTGCACACTTAACAGACTATAGTATGGTGTAAACATAACTTTTATATGCAATTGGAAACCAAAAAATTTGTGTGACTCGCTTTATTGCAATATTTGCTTTACTGTGGTGGTCTGGAACCAAACCTGCAATATCTCTGTATATTCTGGATAACAAACCCTTACCAGATAGATGATTTGCAAATGTTTTCTCCCATTTCATGAGTTGTCTTTTCTCTTTTTTGATAGTGTCCTTTGAAGCACAAAGGTTTTTAATTTTGATGAAGTCCAGTTTATCTATTTTCCTTTAGTTGCTTGTGCTTTTGGTGTCATATCTAAGAGATCATTGTCTAATCCAATACAAAGAAGATTTACACCTAGGTTTCCTTCTAAGAGTTTTATAGTTTTAGGTTTTTATATTTAGGCCTTTGATCAATTTTGAGTTAATTTTTGTATATCATGTGTGGTAGGGGTTTATTCTTTTGCATGTGGATATCCAGTTGTCCCAGCACCATTTGTTGAAAATACTACTCTTTCCCCATTAAATGGTCTTGGCACCTTTGTCAACATCTTTGCTCTTAGCCATTATACATGTATGTATGTACTTTAGTCATGATGTATTTCTTACTATGTGAGACACTTTGCCTAAAAAAACTTCTAAAGGATATTTGTGCAGAACGTGGGAAGGCCTTTGGGCCGTAGAAGGGACCACTTAAGATGCAGGAAGACAGATTAAAAAAAGCTACTATTTCCAGGCAAAAGATAATGGTGAGCCTTGATAAAGGCAGTGGTGACCAAAAAAGTAGACAGACTCCAGGGATACAGAAGAGCTAAAAATCAAGCAAGGTTTATGATTGACTGGATGTGAGAGGTGGGGAGAGGGAGCCATCAAGGATCATTCCCAGGTTTCTGGATGGATAAATGATAATGTCTTTTACTGGAAGAAGCAACTTAGTTAATTTACACTGAAGTCTTATGGATTCATGAAAATTAATTTCCATATCTACAATTTAAAAATATTGCCAGACACTTAGGAATATCTGGCCCATGTTGCTGTTGTGTTGCCTCAGAAAAAGGAAATATACTTTAAAGTTCCCCAGTGCCACGATTTCACTAGCAACTCACACACTTCACAGTGCTTCTATATCCCACTGGTATCTTAAAGAAACTAGCATTGTTTGGTTGTTGAACAGAGCAGCAAGACCACTTTTGCTGGCCATTGCTTGCTCAGAGATAAATGGGGAAGAGTTATAATACCACTAAAAGGAATCCAGCATTTTCTTTTCAAAAACATGAATTTCCCAACTCGGTCCACTGAAAATTACGAGAAGTAATGACAACCCAGTAGCAATGAACACATTGCCTAGGTTATGGTTTCTAAAACTCTTCTCCATTAAAAGGAACCAGTGCTCTTTGGAAGATTGGCTGACGCCAGATCTAGGAAAAGGTATGTGCTCATCAGTCTGGTACACCCTGCCATACCAAAAAGCAAGGAAGATATCAAAAACTAATGAGTCTTGTCAAAAGGACTCAGGAGCCTACCAAGAAAAAGACTCCAATTGGAGTCATTTAAAAACAGTATTCTTTACCAGTATGCTTTACCAGAAAGTTCTACTGCTTTAAAAACCCGGAATCTACATATCACCAATTTCATTTACAATTAAAAAAATGTTTAGGGCCGGCCCCGTGGCTTGGTGGTTAAGTGAGCGCGCTCCACTGCTGGCGACCCGGGTTCGGATCCCGGGCTCACACTGACGCGCTGCTTCTCTGGCCATGCTGAGGCCGCGTCCCACATGCAGCAACTAGAAGGATGTGCAGCTATGACACACAACTATCTACTGGGGCTTTG